GACGAGAGCCTTTAATTTGTGGGGTTGCTGCGGAAAGATTTCAAAGCTTTGATGGCCGTTGCTCTCAGTATGTACTGATGATATGCTGCTGCGGCAAGCGCTCCGATGAACGGACCAACCCAAAATATCCACTGATTTTTATCACCATTCAAACAAAAAGAAATCTCAAATTAAAGTTGGTATTCGATCGAATTTACGGTGAAAAATGGAATGAAATATATATACCTGTTCATCCCAGGCCTTTTCATTGTCGTAGATCACAGCAGCACCTAGGCTCCTAGCCGGGTTTATGCCAGTGCCAGTGATGGGAATGGTGGCTAGGTGCACCACAAACACAGCAAATCCAATTGGCAAGGGAGCCAACACCTGAACCACAACCGCACCGCAGAAGCTTAGTTTCTACTCATCTATGCAAAAAGCATCAGAAAAACCAGCATTAGAAACTACGTAAGGGTAGCTTGTCTTGATATACTCACGGGGACGTGGGAATCACGTGCGTTTCTCTTGGGGTCGGTGGCAGAGAAAACGGTGTAGACAAGGACGAAAGTGCCAATGATCTCCGCTCCCAAAGCGGTGCCCTTCGAGTACCCAGGGGCCACTGCGTTTGCACCACCCCCTAGAGTGTCGTAGTAGCGCCTCATGATGGACTTGGCTATAGCGGCGCCACAGATGGCTCCCAAGCACTGCGCAACCATGTAAGCCACCGCTCGAACCAACGAAACCTTCCTGGCCACGAACAACCCCAACGTAACAGCCGGATTAATGTGACCACCTGTTTCAACAAGGAGTTCACATTTATGATTCTTCCGGATAAAGCATGTACGGGATATGGAAATAAATGCAAAAGACAAAACCAAGTGTCAGGTTCCAAGCAGAAGGGTTTTTTGGGGTTACCAGAGATTCCGGCAGTGCAGTAGACGAGAACGAAGATCATGCCACCGACGGCCCAAGCAATACCAAGAGGGCCAACACCATCACAGGGACCTTTTTGCTTGTTGTGACCGATGACAGTGGCAACTAAGATATAAAGAAACAAAAGGGTAGCAACGAACTCGGCAAGCAGAGCTCTGTAAAAAGACCAGCTCCTAATCTCTTCCATGTCCAACAAGCGAGCTGGTGGCGGGTCTACGTAATCCTTCCCATGTAGCTGGTGAACTTGGCCATCTCTATTATTCTCCATGGATGCTATGCTATGTTTTTCCCAAGCTCTCGTGATAGAGTACCTTACTTATAATGTTCCAACCCAGTCGCCCTGCTTGGCTTGCGTTTGCAATTATGGCTAGGCAGCGGTACTTCCTTTGAGAATAAATATGCTTTAGAATAATCTTCCAGGGGAAATGAATTGGATCCATTTGCCAGCAAGACCATGTGACGGAACAATTAATGCCCCCATAGTTTGGTTCGTTGAGAATGGGCAAAACGCCTGCTTACTTGCTATCTAATCAACCCAAAACAAGCCCTGAAAAACAAGTTCATTTTTGGATTGGGATTCATCAAATCCTTAACCTTGAAAGCTACTGTTCATCGTCATTGCCATGCCACGAGGGCCTCCTCTGCCAAGTATGGGGAATAAAATAATAGAACAGCTAAACCACAAAATAAAAAATTCATTCATTGAGCTTTCCATTGGCTTGTTCTTAATTAATGTTAAAGAATTTTAAGGCCCAGAGGCTAATACATAGGAAGGAATATCTCAAATTTAACCCAAAAATCAATTAATATATATATATATATATTAAATTCAGATATTTTAAATATTTTATTACAATTTAATTTATTTTAATTAAATTTGATAAAAATATTTATTAATTTAATTTTTTTAATATTTTAAAACCATAGCAACCGAATCTTTAATGTATGATAGCTTTGCCTGTGATTTTAGTGAACAGCTCATAATCTTGGGCTTTCCAGCAACCCTACACAGGCCAGTTGTAAAGCAATCATATGGTTGGGTTTCTCATTTCGGAGCCCATAAGTATCCTGTGAAGGTAGCCGATGCTACCCCTTGATTTTGTTATCTGACCATTAATAACTAAACAAAATAAAGCATCACCCCTCGATTTCTTCTCTCAAGACACTTGTTACTAGAATTGATTGAAAACGAAATTCAAAAGTTTACAGTATCAAGAATAATGAAGTTAAATATTAATAAAATTCAAGTAGCTTTATAATTTAATAAAATTCAGAATAGAGTATTTTAAAAATAGCTATTATCATATTCATTTAATATTACTGAACTAAAAACTTAGAATAAATATGAGAATTAGAATCATAAGCAGTAAAATCATTGTTCTTTTCCACTAACAAAAAGAAAAAGAAAAAAAAAAAGAATTTGTCTGGTATTCAACGAGCCACCAAGAATTCCTAAAGGACACTCCCACCTTAAAAAAGGTAATATAGAGGTGCAGCTAAGGTTTTATCTTGTTTATTATACCTAAATAAAATTTTATTTTTTGATTTATTTTCATTAAATTTTAATTTTAACGAAAATTAAAATAGTTGTCCGATCCAATACTAATGGGCAATAACATTAACAGAAAATATCAATTGATGTTAAACTTCGTAATTGTTGATTTTCTGTTTTATGTAGATATAAATTAAAAAGTAAGAAATTTTTTGAATATAATAAAATAATATTAATTTAATTATATAAATTAATATAATTCAAGACTTTTTATTATTTAAGGGGTTTTTTTTTTCGTCCATCTTTTGCTTTAGGCATGGCAGTGGAATTGGATTCTATATGAGAAAGAAATATAGGTGAGGGTCTGAGGGCTAAAGATGCCCTTGGAAGCACAACAAGGGTGCAATTGCTTAAATAAGCAAATCAGCTTGCATATTCTCTAATTTTTCCTTTTGTGAATTTTTTTGTTGCCGTACCATTCAAAATTTAAATAATTAAATAGTAGCACTGCATCCAAATATTAAGAACAGAAGAAACTTAGAATTCTATTGCTGAAAAATCTGACGAGGAAAAGAAAACCAAAATTCTGACCCTTACCTTTTTTTTATTACATTTTGTCCCCATCTAAAATTAAAATTCGCAATCTCACATCAAATGATGTTCTTCTTCTTCTACATTTATCACGTTCACACCCAAGTCTAAAATTGACCGCTTTTGGAATTAGAGTGGGGAAAATTTTATATTTTCTTGATTAAAAAAAAAAGAAAGCTAATTCAACAACCACCCCATAAAATATCCCTTCTTTGCTTTTTCCCCCTTTTAAATAAATAAATAAATAAACAAATAAACACCTTAAAGTGAGTTTTAATTGACAAACATCATACTTTATAAAATATCCAAAGAATTTTTAGTGTCTAATATAATTAGTATTATCATTATTTATTTTTCAAAATAATTTTTTATTACTTTTTTATAAGAAGTGAGAGTGTTTTCTTATTTTATTTAGCCTTATTTTTACAAATTATAAAAATGCAATAATATATTTAGATTTTATTGATTTCAAAATGTTAATTCAATCTTTTATTTAGAAAATTTTTCTCCACTTTATCTTCATCATAAGTAGATTCCATCTTATCTGATATCCCAATTTGAAGTTTTTTGGGTAACACTACTTAGCTAAGAAGGTAAACAAGACATCCACATGATTTTTTTTAATTACTTTCTATTTTTATAATTTTGAATTTTAACCTTCCTTTATTGAATCTCTTGCTGGAAATCTACCACACACACACACACACATATATATATATATATAGAGAGAGAGAGAGAGAAATTACTAAAAATTCCATATTATTGTCTCTTTTAATCATAAAAGAGAAAATACCTCAATTTCCTTTTTTTATATCCAAAAATACTTGGATGTAAATATAAATTTTACCTAATGTATCACCAATGATTTTCTTTAAAAGTAAACATTTGATCTGTTCGTTTTTTAAAATGTTGAAAACTGAATTAATTAAATACAAAATTTTCATAATCGGATCATTTTTAGAATTTGCAAAACGAATTAACTGAATACCGAATTTTTAAAATTTAAAAAACTGAATTAACTGAAAAATAAACTTTCATAAAAAAGTAATTGAATTAACTTGAAAATACATAAAATTCGATCGATCGATCATCAATTTATTGACATATTCATGTAAATTGCTCCAAATGAATACATATTAAGTATGGCATGTCATCAAAATCTCACACAAACTCTTCTTCAATTTCATGGGATATATAAAATATTTTTCAAAAAAAAAAACTAAAAATTCTAAAAAATTTCATACAAAATAAGCCTAATTGGATCATAAATTACTTGAAATAGTAGAAATACCCACCTCATGCTGCGTGTTTACCAAAACAGGCTTTTTTGAAATAAGATTGTGGATTAACATAAATATGCTTACGTGGCATTTTTATATTGGATGGTTACATATTGGCCACGCGAAACTGACAACAATGGGAACCTGAAAAGACCTTTAGTAGGTAACTGAATCTTTACCGCGACTCGAACTAGGAAACAATGCTGTAAAGTGGAAAAACCCTAATCAGATTTAACAGCGGTAAGAGCACGTTAATTGACCAAAACAACCCTTGGCACGAGGGCAAAATCGTGAAACCAGAAGAACTTTTACTTAAGCAAGCAGCTGAAGGAAGTATTTAAGAGAGACGCACACAAATAAAAAATGAAAAAAAAGGGAAAAATAAGAGAGAGAAAGAGTGAGAGAGAGAGAGAGAGAGAGAGAAGCAGAGGTTACAGAGCCTCCATCGCTCTTCTTCTTCTTTAACCTTCGTCTCTCTTCGCCGATCGGATCATACAATCCCTAATTTTTTATTTTTGGAAAATCCCAAATTTTACATTTTCGAAACCTTGAATTTTGTAACTCTCACTCTCTTTCTCTTCCCGATTTTATTTTATTTTTAATCAAAATTTTGTTCTCCTATTTTTCTTTTTTTTTTTTAGTTTTTTCGCCGTCGATCAACTTGTCGACTTAGGGGAAAGAAAGGGGAAAAGCGAAAGGAAAATCCAGTTTTGTTTGATTAGGGTTTGATATGGCTGCAAATATTAATACGGCTAATTTCAATACCTCCGCTGCAGTGACAGCTGCTAATCACTCTCCCAGTAGCCCTAACCAATCACATCGTGCTACGAGGGTGGTTTCTTCGCCCTGGACTCAAATCGTCCGCGGAGAATCAGAGCCGATCGCGGGTGTACCTTTGTCGCCTTCGACCTCTTCTTCGTCGTCACCATCGGCGGCTGTGATTGAGCTACCTGTTAACGCTGCGGTCGAAGAGGAAGGCGTGGAGAATGGGGGTTCTGGTCCCAATGGCAATGCCGGTAAGAGGCCGGCTTGGAACAAGCCTTCTAACGGGGCTGCCGAGTTTGGGGCTGTTATGGGGGCGCACATGTGGCCTGCTTTGTCTGAGTCCGCTAGGGTTTCTTCCAAATCTTCTTCAGACTCATCCAAAGCTTCACCGGATGGATCATCTTCTCCTGCTGTCCTTGTTTCTCAGGTTTGTTTTCTAAAAGTTTAAGTCCTTCTTCATTAATTTCAATTCCATTAGCATTTTAACTATTTATTAGCCCTGTTAAAAAGCTGGAATTAACTGTTTTAACTCTACTGAATCAAAGCGAAATTAGTTTTCCAATTTGTTTTACTATCTACTTGGTAAGCAAGAGATATCTTAAATTCTTAATCCAACTTTAGGGTTTACTTGAATTAAAAGAGGAAGCTGGATAATGGATGTTGTGTATGAATATAGGGAGTATTTAAGATTTTCGTAGGCAAGTTTGTTTAATTTTGGATTCTGAGGCTGCTTAATATTGATGGTTTTGCTGTTTGCCTAAATTTTAGGGGAGTGGAAATGCATTGTCTTCGTCTGTGCAGAAACAAGTCAGCAACAATGCAAACTCGAATTTAAATTCGACTCCAAACAATACAATGCCTACCCGCCAGAGGTCGATGAAGCGAAATAGTAATAACTCAGCATCAAATGGTGGCCTCACGCAGCCTCAACCTCAAGGTCCTGTAGCAGAAACACCTGCAAATAACCCTTCTAGGGACCACATACAGAGAGGTGGATTTGTGTCACAGCCTCATAGTGGTGGTAATGATCACCCACACCCTCGGAATTCATTCAGAAATCGTAATGGTGGTCCACATCCACGAGGAGATGGTTCTCACCATCAGAATTATGGAGGAAGGCGCAATCAAGACCATGGAAATCAAGATTGGAATGGTCGAAACTTTAATAGTAGGGATGGCCACATGCAGCCAAGAGTTGTTTCCAGGTTAATGAGGCATCCACCACCACCTCCACCGCCTAATACTGCACCATTTATTACTCCCCCTCCTGTGCGGCCTTTTGGCACCCCCATGGGGTTCCCTGGTATGCTGTACTTATAATCATTATTATTTCTCTTTGGTTGAGGCAGGGTGGTATTCTAAGTTTTCTCTGATGTCTCTTTTTCCTTTCAGAATTGCCATCTCATGTTTATTTACTCCCAGCCCATCCTCCAGAGTCACTTAGAGGAGTGCCATTTGTTGCACCAATGCCACAGGTGTTTTTCCCTGCTCCAGAACCCCAAGACCATCAGTTGCATGCTAGGATAGTGAATCAAATAGATTATTATTTCAGGTAAACCTACGCTTGCATGTTTACATTAATCAAACTAGTTAATTCAATAGCCATATACAGTTATTTTTGGTCACCCAAGAAGCTAACTGCCTGTTTCTTCATTGCAGTAATGAAAATCTAATTAAGGATACATACTTGCGGCAAAACATGGATGACCAGGGCTGGGTTTCTATTAAATTAATAGCGGGCTTCAAAAAGGTGAGTTTTTTCGATACATTGTAGCTGGTTTCATTTATTTGATGGTGATAGTTCCTTTGCTTAGAGCGTTGTAATGATGGTGTGCATTGGGAATTTTTAGCATGCTCATAAGTTACATCTATGCCTATTGGACTCATCTGTTATTCTATTGTGGCAAGTGTATGTGGTTATCATTAAAAACAAACCTATTTTAAGTGAAGATTTTGAAAGAAGCAAAATAAGTATGTACATTAATAACTTAATTTACTAGTAATGAAAATGCGTATTGATAGCTATCTGTAATCTGTTGGTGTAAAATTCTGAGAGGAGCCTTTGAAGAGAACAATGAGGGGGAAGAGAAAGATATGAGAATAATGTAAGGGCGGCACCCTCATTCACCATAGCAGAGATGTGAAGGAGTGAGGTCTAGCTTGTGGGTTTAATACACCTTGAAGTGATTATACTTCAGTTAAAGCTTCTGCAGAGGTTTGTACCATTCAGGGTTTTATGGAATTGGTTCTAGAAAATATATTTTGGGAAAAACTTAATTGCTACATTTTCAAACTTTTTTCTTTTATTTCCAAGAAAATGAATTTAAATCCCAACAAGCCTAGCTTTCGCTTCCACCTTGCTGCTAGTTGTGCTAGTTCATGAATTTTCATTGTAAATCCTTACCGTAAATGAGCCATATGAGCATATGCATTCATACTTATTAATACACATTTCGTTTGACCATTATTTGTGCGAAATATTGTTGCTATTTTCTGGTCAAGATAATTTTGATGGACAGAACCTTGTCTTGATGCACATATCTATATGCATTTAAATAACCTTTTCATATTTTATTCCATGCTACTTTTGTTACCAATAATTGCCCGTATTGCTGGCTCACTCTTCTCATTTGGTATTTGACTATTTGTGTTCGATTATGTTACGCTTTTCTCATGGTGTTATACAAATCTACTTCAGATGGATTTGTATTTAAGTACTGGATCACTTTATAGCTAAACCTTTGAGTGAA